TAACCTTCCTGTGATTCCATATTATCCACCACGTTATTCAGACACTTTGGGAACAGGCACATTACCACATGTGTACAATTACGAGGTGTGTAGGACGACTGACTCCAGAAAGAGTGACATCAAGTTCTGCAGAGCTGGTAGTCAGAATCTGTTAAATATGGACAGCAGTTGTACCGGGACAATGCAGCGGATACAGAGCGAGAAGAGCATCCTGGATGAAACTGACTCTCCTGTAGAGGTAGGTCAGCGATCATAGCTTTATGCATGACACTACTTTTCCTGTAATTCTTCCTCCTGTGTCAGTTTTTATCCTGGTTTACAGTTGTTTTATATTTCAGCACCAGGGACAGCACCTTTTTTCTGTCAGTTTAAAAATTAATCTACGAAGTTTTTAGCTTCTGCTTACTTATATTTAGTTGGTAATAATTGCTTTAAAGATTTTTAATCCGTTTTATACAATTTTGTATTTTTAATACTATCAATATTCCTTTATTTTTTTACGTTTCTAAACATTCATTTCTCTTCATATGTTAACGGTAGAAACGTGTTTTTACCAGCTGTAAATCTGAAAACAGGGAGTTCACAAGCTTTCTAAATTACTTTCATTTAATTAATTTAATTTTGTCTTTCAGAAGTGTATTACGTTATGCCATTATATCATTATCATGGTCGTAGTGAGTCAATGTCGATCATTTATACTGAACATTTATATTAAAGATCGTATTTTTAATTTGATCCAGAAAATTTTGATTTTATTCATTTATATTAAATTTAAAAACTGCCTTGATGTTACTCATTCTGAACTGTAAGGGACGCTGTTGATCAAGACAAATCCTCTCTAGCAGCCTACCCGCTTATCCCTCTCTTACTTTCTTGTGGCCTTTATGAGAATAAGGGGCTTGTTCATTTCTCCACAAATTCGGAAGAAGGCAACAGACTACATCATTAAACGACCTTGGAAATAAGAATCCAATTTACCTCTTGATATTCAGATATATTTGTGTATATTTTTAGCTTAATTTTTTCACTGTCTAAGGAATATTTTTGCATCTGTCATACTATGTTGCGTGGAATTCCACTCTACACTGGATTACCAAAATGGCGTTTTTGCTTCGCAGAGAATTTGCTGCATCTTTTTTTCCTTTGTTGCATCTGCCATTGTGTTACTGGACATATCAGATATTCGATCCCGGAAGAGATGAAAAAAGGCTCACTGATCGGTAATGTGGCACAGGACCTTGGTTTGGATTTAAAAAGACTCCGCTCTGGTCAGGCCCGTCTCGTAAGCGGTGAGAGCGTCCAGTACACCGAGCTGAAGGTAGACAAAGGGGTTTTACTGGTGAAAGAGAGAATCGACCGGGAGCAGCTTTGTGGCGAAACAACACCGTGTAGTTTTAGTTTTGAAATGATTTTAGAAAACCCTACAGAATTGCATCAGATAACAGTTGAGATTACAGATATAAACGATCATTCCCCGACGTTTAAAAAAGGCAACATGAATTTTGAAATTAGTGAATCCGCCTTAAACGGCGCTCGTTTTCCATTAGCGACTGCAGAAGACCTAGACGTTGGTGTAAATGGAATGAGAGAGTATTTGTTAAGTGAAAATGATAATTTTATCCTCAAGCAACATTCGAACGCAGATGGGAAGAAATACGCAGAGATGATACTTCAAAAGCCTTTAGATAGAGAGACAAACCCAAGTTTGTCTCTCAAACTGATGGCTGTGGACGGGGGAAATCCCCCGAGATCTGGAAGCATAAATATTGATGTTGTTGTTCTGGACGCTAACGATAACGCACCTATATTTAATCAGTCGTTGTACAAAGCTTCGATTACGGAAAATTCCATCAAAAACACTTACGTTACCACAGTTAATGCTAGTGACGCAGATTTTGGATCAAACGGTGCTGTGACGTATTATATTTCTGATCTTAGTAGCGCACTTGGAGATTTATTTAGGGTTGATGAACAAAGTGGAGTCATTTTAACAGCAGGGCCTATCGATTTCGAAAAAGATAAAAAGTTTGAGCTTCAGATCCATGCAAAGGATCAAGGAGGTCTAACGGATTCCAGCAGGGTGATAATTGAAATAGTAGATATAAATGACAACTCCCCTGCCATAAGCGTGATGTCATTCACCAGTCCTGTGTCAGAGGACTCTCCTCCGGGAACAACAATTGGTCTTATCAGTATAAAAGACCAGGATTCCGGTGATAACGGACAGGTGAGCTGTAAAATTGAAGGAAATGCTCCTTTCAAGATCAAATCGAATCTAAAAAATTATTATACTTTGATAACAGATTCTGTATTAGACCGTGAAAGTATTTCAGAATATAAATTTACTGTTGTTGCCACAGACAAAGGAAATCCTCCGCTTTCCACGAAAAGAATATTTAACTTGCAAGTGTCTGACGTAAATGACAACCCCCCCGTTTTTTCTAAGAGAGTTTACAGCGCATTTATTGCAGAAAACAATTCCCCGGGCGTGTCTGTCCTAACACTGACAGCCAAAGACCCCGATGAGAACCAGAACGCTCGCATTTCTTACGTGTTAGAAGGTAAAAATATTGCTGGATCCTCAGTTTCTGAATATGTTTCTGTGAATGTAGAAACAGGAGTTGTTCAAGCAATGCGCTCATTTGATTATGAACTAATTAAGGAACTGGATTTCTGTGTCAAAGCGCAGGATGGAGGTTCTCCTCCACTAAGCACCAACGTAACTGTTAAATTACTTATTCAAGACCAGAACGATAACCCTC